CCTGTGTTATTTCAAACAGCCCATCTTCAAGGTCAGAAGTTCTCTCTTCTACTTCTGAAAGCCTGCTGGTTAAACTCTCTGTTGTGTTTTTTATTTCATTGAATGAATTCTTCAGCTCAGCAAACTCTGCTACATTCTTTTTCAGGGCATTGATTTCCTTCTACATTTCTTCTTTCAGGTCCTGTATACTTTTCCTCTTTTCATCATGTTGTCTAGCTGAGTTTTCTCTCAAACATGGCTAACATCAGATTTACCTACAGAGGGTCTTTAAAGTGTAGACTCTTGGGGCTTATGTCCTAAATATGAATCTCCAGGGGAGAGACCCAGGAATCTCTGTTTCTATAGCAATCTCATGTAAAGTAGATGCAGCCGATCCAGTGACCCAAAATTTTGGAACCCAGGGCATCTAGAAAAAGTTCTGGACTGGGACTCAGGAACACAGGCTTCTATCCTGACTCCTCCCTGCCTCAGGTCCCTGTGTGGCCTTCCTTTCCCTCTCCGGGCCTCATTTTCTTCACCTGTAAAATGAGAAACACAGGCTGGGGCTAGACAGCACTCCAGGTTTCTTCCAGCTCTGATAGTCTGTGATTCTAACTAAGCATAACCTGCCTTGGTGGCTCAGAGGCCCATTCACAGACACATATAACAGGCAGGAGACAGAGAGGAGAACACCCAGATGCCTCCATCCCACACTATGGAATATACTGTAGAGCATATGTACTTCACAGGGCCTGGTTTTCCAAAGTCTTGCAGTTTCAAATATTGACCTTGCAGAGGACTGGAAATTTTCCTCAGGCTATAACTCTCTGGTGTAAGATAAAGATTTGTGACACCACAAGATTGCTGACTCAAGGACAGAATAGTTTCTGATTGTTATGTAAAGATATTGAGAAATTGCTGTAAGGTCACTTAATTGTATACTGGAATGTCATCTGACTTGTTTTACTGAAACCAACCTATATTGTTAAACTATAACCCCACCTATGTTCTCTTCCTGTAACTTTCTGGTCTGGAAAATAAATGCAGGAAGAAAACCCCAATTCAGTGTTAATTTCCTGAGGAAGGGATCCCTCTCACTTGAGCATTCCCAGGGAAGTTAACCACTTTGGGACTTCTCACTGCTTGGAAGAGATGGGCCTTGAGAAATCCTTTGCATCTCTGTCACCCAGGGGAAGTGGGGTGACAAATCCATGGGGGGGCAAAGCAAGACAAAGCAACAAAATGGTGCCACATGTGAGGATGTTCTCCACAGATTGGAGACTGACCTGCCAAGCACTGGAGAGGAATAGGACACCTGATTCATCCCAGCAAGGGAGTCCCTAATAAGGGAAACACACCCCAGTAAGAGAATGACAGGTGGCTTTCGATTAGCAATTGCACACCTGCGGCAGGTCAAAGTTAGGCTTTTTCAACCCCAGAGATATTTTTTCATTCTCTTTACTTTTAAAATATGGATAATTTGTTAATGAAAGGGGAGACTGAACATACAACTCCAATGTCTCCTTAAAGCAGCAGGCTGTAAGTAACTGAATAGCAGCTTGTTAAACTCTTAGTGGATATTAAACAACCATGTCCTTGATACCTCAAGGAAGGGAGCCTTAACATAAAAGCTTGAAAACAAATTTGTCACTGGTTAATTATGTAATGGGTCTCATTAAGGCTTCCCACCTAACAACTAGGAATCTATGTCAAGTCTCTCTGAGACATATCCAAGACCTTAACAAAAAACTAAGACAAGTTTATGTCACCAAAAAAGGATAAAACTTAATCTTTGCCAGGGACTGAGAAAACTTTAAATTGGACAATCTAAAGTAAAAGAAGTTAATATTTCTTTACAGTGTTGGTATTGCTTGAGCATGTTTTTCTTTCATATCTGCACAATGCTTCTCTCCTCTCTTAAAAGCAGTGGTTCTTTTCTTAACTGTACATGAAATTCTTTTTCTCTGAAGACGCTGGAGCTTTATGAAGAAAAGCAGCCATGGTGCCAACCAGACCCCTTTTGGGTCTACTGCTCTTTTAAAAACCGCAAGAGTCAAGTGGTTTCATCTCTGATTGGTGGCTCAGCTCTTGAGCTCAATAAGCCATTTGAGAAATAAAAACTAAACTAACATCTACCTGTTTAACTAGATGGTCTCAAATTTTCTGACATCCACCTGGTTATCTCCTACAGACTTCTAAATTCTCTTCTAGTCTCATCTATGTATTTCTCCACAAAATTCTATGGTAGAATTCTATGCTGTCTTCTTAAAGGAAGAAAATCTTCTCTGCATCTTCTTGAAAAGTTTTGCATACTTTGTTTTACAATATAAATTTGTTATCTTGCTTTCTTTAAGGCAAGGTGAAGCTCACCGATAAGTCTTTAGGAAAAAACACAATCTAAACCTGACTGTCCGTTTTACTAGTGAGCTTTCCTATTACATCTTGAACAAAACCTATAAGATCCTTATTTGTTCTTGTTGTTTATGTCTTCATATATGCATGTGTAAGCTGTATGTTATGTCTATATGTTCATGTCTGTGTAATTGTGTTATGTATAAGGTATCAAATTGGCTTATAATTAATGTGTGCTCATTAAATAAATAAGTATACTTTTCAAGTTCACTTGACTTAAATCTTCTAAAGTTTTGATAAGTATATTTTCAAAATTTGTTTCAAACCTTTTACCTAAATTTGTCTCTAGGTCCATGTCTCCTTGTTATCTTAGCTCTGCCTCCTGGCCATGCTGGGAGAAACAATATCTTTTAGACATAGATAGTGAATACTGCCCTCTGGATTCTACATGGCTTCAAGCACCACATGGAAACCTGGGACCTGAAATGGCTAGTGAGAAGAAACCTATGCCAAATATTGCATAGTCCCTAGTTAACATTAACTGATAAGGGTATAGATCTAATACACCAAGTTTTTGGCTGGAAAACCATAAATATTTATTTGGGAAAAATATCTAAAACTCAAACTGGGCTTTGCATAATTTGCTGAGGAGCAACACTCTTGTTCCCTTTACTTGACCATTTTCTCTTCAGTAACACACTTAAATACACCTCAGTAATCTCTTACATCAGTGCCTCTCAATCTTTAATGCACTTTGGAATTTCCTGCTGGTTTTCTGCAGTGCAAATCATAATTCAGTGAGTCTGAGGTGAAGCCCCAGATTCTATGTTTTTAACATACTGCAATGTGATCACTCTACTGCTTGTCTCTGAATAGTGAAGGCCTACACCCTGCCTTGTTTTTTGTTTAGAATACTTACAATAACACCAAAACTCTAACAGATCTCTAGCTGAATGATGAGAGTGGTAGAGACGAAATTGTGTTTCTCCTCAGGGGTTCAGAGAAGAAACTACACAATTAGGAAAATGTGAAGTCTCTTGGCCAAATGACAAGACTTTTAACAAGAAGAGCATGAAAAGTCTCAACTACTACCAAAGTGTCAGGAAGGAAGACAATAAGACTATAAATTCAACACAGATTTTTATTGAGAACATGTTATATGCAGGCAAGACATTTGACCAGGAATGCATATATTAAGAAGACACATACTTTGCTCTCAAAGAGGTGAAAAATTAGAAGGGGAAAGGGACCTAACTACCTACAGTGAAGGATATGGACTGAGGAGTATAGTTAACACAATACAGCTGAAATGTGGTGCTAGTTCATTTGAGGGAGAAACTACTTTCCACTTGCTAATCAGAGAAGGATCTCCAGGGGAGATGACATCTGAAATGGGCCTGATGATCCATTAATATTTGAACGTGGAGGTTTTTAGGACCCTGTTCCATTAAGAGTTAAAAGTTGAATGTTAAAGTTCTGGAACCCAGGTCAGAACAACAAGCCCTGCAAAATTACATTTAGCTTATATTGACAACTGATCATTAAGCAGAAATAAACAAATTTTTACAAGGACAATTGGAAGGATGTCATTACCATGTTGTGTTCAGGTATGTCCCATGGCCCTGGGTTACTGGATTCTCATTCTAAAGGGAGAAGCGCAGAGAGTAGGCTCACAGCGTGCCCTATATGAAGTATAGGAGAAAAGAGATGGAGTCACTCTGCATAAGCGGGAATTGAGGACTGAGGAGTGATAGGGAGGAGAAATGAGCAGAGAGGGGAAAAAAAAGAGGGGAAAACAAGATGGGCATGAAGAACTCACCGGCACTTCCAAAACCAAAATGTAAGACCTGTCAGAAGAGCCAGAAGCAGTATCACTGCCAAGAAGATCAAGCCCCTGGAGCTGTGATGATCTGTGGATTTGGGTGGACACCAAGGATGTTATTCCAAATCCACCAACTGTTTTACCCCCATTCACACCCTGTAGTATAGCATTTACCTAGGCTTCTTATATTCATTTAAGTTTCTAACTCCCCAGTTTCTTTCCTTTCCATTTCTTCTCTCATCCTCCCTCAGATATGAATCTTTAATCTAACCCTCAACATCAACCTGCATCTACAAGTCCCTCATTATCCACATTTCTATTCTTTGAGTTATCTATTTTTCTTCCTTTTGGTTCTAGAAACCTTAAAATCCCATATATTTTAGATCTGCCTGAGGACCTCTTATTCCCATGTGCAACTGGGGACCTAGTTCCTTCTCACCCCAGTAGAGAACGATGTCCTGGCCTCCTAGACTGCTGTGCTTCACCCGGCATGACAGGCCAGCTGCCTCCCCAGTGTCCACATCCAGCGTTACTTGAAGATACCATGTCCCATCAGCATTGGGCAGGATATCACCTCGCTGAGTGCCTGGCTGCTCCTGCTCACCCCGTATCCACATCACCCACACAGACTTGGGGTAGAATCCGGAGACATGGCACACCAGCAGCAGATGACTGGGCCCAGGACTGGGGCCACTGGACAGCCAGGCCTCAGGCCTCACTGTAAAGAACAGGAAAGATATTCAGACAAGAATCCTATAACAGACTTAGAGGATCAGATCTCCACATTAGTTTAGAGAGACACACCTTTCCACTTAAATTTGAAGGGGATGATGAAAAGGTATAATTTTAGAATATAAAATTCTTGGAGGAAAGATACACAACTGACCTTGTCTCTGGAGATCTGCCTTCCCTGCCTCAAGAACACCCAAGATGAAACGTGGGCATGTGTCACTGAGGAGGTTCTGGACCATTTTCTTTTCATGTTGGTTCTGATTGAGGAATCTGCAAACATGCTGAGCACTACTTCCACTCTTAGGGGATGGCAGCCATGAATTGTTTTGGAAGCTTATGAAATCTGATCCTTGATAAGCTATCCGAAAGAAGCCTACAGACTTCCCACCAGAATGCAGTTCACAGCCTCCTGTCTTCTGTGCCTCAATAGGATCTTGGGAAGAAAGGTTATGAATTAGAGGAAAGAGGAAGTAAAAAAAAAATGAGTGGAAGCAAAAGAGGGTAGAAGTAGAAGTGAGAAGTTTAGGGGATTTGAGGGAATGATCAAAGTTTGGTTTAATCAGAGGTTCAGAGAAAGAGATATTGGTGGGATTGGAGATGAAGGAAAAGATAAATAACATAAGAAAGAGATAAATTATTCAAAGAAGGTGATGTGAATGTTTTTGTCAAGGAAGGACAGTGTGAGAGAGCTGGGGTGATAACAACCTAAGGTGAATGGAATGCATGGGTTTCAATGAATGTATAGACAGAGACTGCTGAAGAGATTGAATAAGGAGAAAATCACACTATAGAGAGTCAATCAAAGAGTGAGAATGCTGGGGCCGGCCCGGTGGCACACTCGGTAGAGTGCGGCACTTGGGAGCACGGCTGCGCTCCTGCTGAGGGTTTGGATCCCATATAGAGACCGGTCCGCTCACTAGTTGAGCGCGGTGCGGGCTCGACACCGAGGGTTGCGATCCCGTTGCCGGTCACGGAAAAAGACCAAAAAAGGGGGGAAAAAAAGAGTGAGAATGCTGAGGGTATCTGGTTGCAGGCCAGAGAAAAGGGTGGCAACAGGATTCCTCTAAGAGAGGATATTAAGCCTCAACCCAACAATCAATGAAAGAGGAGTTTATTCAAGGCAGAGGACTTGAAATGTTTAAAAAATCTTGGTCCAGCTTATAGCCTTGTCCTAAAAATTGTGATTACAGTTTAATCATGGTGAAAGTGGAGTATGATTCAGAAGAGAATGGAAGCTTTTTCCTAGAGAGATAAGAAACTCATTGAGACACCCCCACATACTCATCTCCACACTCCCCATTCAGAAAAGTGAACTTACATTCAAATTGCAACTGAGGAGCATAGTGGCGAAATTCCTGAACAAATCTACGAACGTGTGCATGCAAAGCCTTTTCCAATTCCATCCACTCCTCATTGCTGAAGTTGCCCCTGGCCCAGGGCTGTAGAAAAATCATGGTGCCAGAGCTGCTGTTCCACCCGTGAATCTGCAACTCACCCAGCCATCCTGAGAGAAGAGTCTGTGTCCAGGAACGGTTGTAAATGGATGCGATTACACTGAAATGGAAGGAGACAGGCTCCTCAAACCCTGTGTCAAAAGAACAGATAAGATGTGGAGCATAAAGGCATTCTCTCAGGAGAGAGAACACAGAAGTACATGTGCCACAGTGGGGGAACTCAGAACGTGGAGAGAAAGAGAGTCATAGTTATCTCAGCACACATTTGCCTGCTACAGGGTCCCACAACTTATCAAGACCTTCAAAAGAGCCCAGACACCTAGAGTCATGGATACTAAGAATGGAATCAGCCTGGAACAATTACTCTTCAGCTATATGCTGGGAAACCAGCCCACAGAAATACACACACACACACACCCTCTTGTTCACAACCGGGCAGTTTCCAAAGTCCTTACCATTCTCATTGTCACCACCTGGGAGAAGAACAGCCAGCAACGGAAGCAGCAGAAAAAGCATTTTATTTGCAGACATTATTTGCTTCTCTCAGAACAGTTGGTCTTCGGTTTCGGTTCTAAACAAACCTTTCCCACACTATCTCTGTTCTGACTTCCTTCTCCAACCAACAGATCTCCTCCTCTGTCTGCAACAACAAGAACAAAAAATCTCCTTTGCAAAACCCTGGGCCTCCTCCTCAGTTTCTCATTTCCTCTCTGGTTTGCAGCTTCTCTCTCTTTCACCAACTTCCATCTGTTCACCTTCCCCTAATTCAACTGCTATAGAACAAGTCTTCTGTGACATTGAGAAGACACTTTTCCACTAAGGACTTTTGTTTTTCACATTCATACAGCAAAAGCATGAAACTTATTGGTTCCCAGTGTGCTAACAAGTGTCTTCCTGTCCCTGCACTTTTTGGTCACTCTGTCCTTCTCTTGACCTTTTGGTATTCCCTCATGTAGTCTCTTCTTCTGTGTCATACTCAGCACATTGATATCTCTGACTTGTCACTGGTCTTTAATTTGGTTTTTCAGAATCCCTTATGATTTCCCTGAGTAACACTATAAAATACCTCAAGTTCACCATTGTCCTTAGCGAAGAGCCAGTAGCCATCACAGAAACCACAGGGACATTGAAACATATAAAGAAAAACTTCCTCTGTTTGACTTCATTGGATGTATATTCACTCACCACACAGTCACTTAGCACCAGCCTGGAACCAAGCATCTTGCTGTGTTTATGATACAGTGGTTGACAATGCAGTCACTTTATTCAAGAAGATTTTAGTCCACTTAGGGAGAAAAACACACACACCAACAACTATAAATCTTGGTGTGCTGCGTTTTATTATAACATGTCGACTCTCTGGATAAGAAAAAAACAAGCCTTGTTGAAATAATACTTACTAAAGTGGTGACCCACAACTGATGTTTGCCCATTCATGATCTTGACTTCAGTGGTAGCCATGGGGTGTTGGATCTATACCATTGTTATACTTTATACCCACTTCACAGAGTGTCTGGCAAGGGGTATGTGCTTAGTGAATATTTATTAAATCAATGAATAAATTCAGCACATGCATCCAATTACTTTTTTTTAATTTTGCAGGAGATCTTCAACATAAAATATTTTTAAGACATCATAAGTTTACTCGTAACCTTACTTAGTGAAATTGTGGGAGTTAGCAGGACTAAAGCTATGTTGGGACCTAAAACTGCCTGGGCTGTGGAGGGGTGGGTGGATTTTTAAAAGGACAGTTTTTTTTCTCTCCACTCCTTCTTCCCATCCCATGACTTTCTTATCTTGCTTGCTAAGTAGGAAAACAAGGCCAAAAAGCTAATTAGTACTTTGCAAAGCTAACAGCTCTTTCTTCGAGTCTTGTAGAGTTTTGAGAAATGATCACGGCCAAATGAGTGGAAGCTGACCGTGGGCACCAGCCAAGTACACCAGCCCAAAGCAAAATCTTGTAGGGTCCTGAGATAACAGCAAAGATGAGAACAGAAACCAGACAAGGCCTTGGCAAGACCTTGTACTTGACCCATAGAAATGGACCCCTCATAACTCACATCTCTTTCTCTCCTGCTTTTCACCTCCCACATTCTATGCCCCCAACCCCTCCTTTAAAAATCCCTCAGTAAATCAAAATCTTTGATATGGGATATCCTACCATCTCCTTCAGCTGAATACATCTGCTTTTCTAACATCAGCCATTTGATTTCTGAGTTTTCTCTTTTCTATCTTTCTCAAGGGGACAGGTAGCCAGACTTGAGTTCAGTAACAAAATGAGATTCTTATGCAGTTTTATTTTGGACAGAAGAGTATGTTACTGAGCATAACATTTACATACAGGGTCCTGGTCCTGTAAATTTCCTGTAACATAATAGGAAACTTACATAATAACAGTCAATTCTATAATAATTCTATAATAGTCAAAATTTGTGAGAAATGAAGTTAATGAATATTCTGAAGTCATTTATACAGAATTCTCTTTTAACTGTTTCTACTTGGATGTTCCATGGTTGTCTTGTCATAAGTTAGTCTCTCCTGAATAGACTGACCTTCCTCTTTTGTGGTGTTTATAACTGTTTAAAGGCTATTAAATATTTCTTTCTACTTTGTAAGCATCATCTGTATACATGTGTCTTGGTTATGTATTTTGTTTTTTCTTGATTAACAAGAAAACAAATTATCTCAAGCTAATTTAGGAAAGAAAATAACTTTTAAAAAGTTATGATTGGGGGCCGGCCCCGTGGCTCACTTGGGAGAGTGCAGCGCTGGGAGCGCAGCAACGCTCCCGCCGCAGGTTCGGATCCTAAATAGGGATGGCCGGTGCGCTCACTGGCTGAGTGCGGTGCAGGCAACACCAAGCCAAGGGTTGCGATCCCCTTACTGGTCACGAAAAAAGAAAAAAAAAAGTTATGATTGGAATTCAGCAAGCTGGAAACAACTTCACTTTCATACTCTCAATTTTAAAAAGCTGGATAATCAGAAACACAAATAATCTTAAGTCTATCAGAGACCTGAAATATCAGGGCAATGAATTAACACCAAATCCAAGGAAAAATGGACTCCTCCATGAAGAGATTGCTACTGACAGACCAGGCTCTGCTTGCCTTCTCACATTAAACAAATGAGTCGTAAGTCCAGAAGTTGGTACAAGGATTGGAAGGTTTATGCACATAACCAGCATCTGGGGGACAACCAGGCTAAAATCATCCCAACTTCTGATGTCTGTTCTGGGGTTCAAAAAGGGAAGAGGTGGGAAGATGAGGTAAGGTTCTTTGTTCTGAAAAAGTGGGGAGTCTGGGAGCAGCAGATGGTCTGAGTCAGATGTCAGGGTCCCATGATGGATTGGGAACGTCAGCATCACAGAGTCTGTGGTCAGCTTGAAGTCCTCAATGTTACCTTGGGATCAGAGTCCTTATCTCCTAGGGAGGACTGAAAGATAATAACCTTAGTCAAATATCATAAAAATACCTGACTTGGATTTCTAATTAACGTGGGTGCAGTTTTCCTTTAAGTAAGAGGGGGATTTTACAACCAGCTAGGTAGTCTTGCCTCTCTCTTATTTCTCCTCTTGTTTGCAGCTAGTCAGAGAGGTAAGAAAAACAAGAAACTTACTTTCAGTCCTTATTTGTAGGTGCACAACCTCTGAAGTAGATCAACATAAGAGGGGGTGATTTCATCTCCGGGCATCTCTCAATTCTTCTGCTAACCTCAAGGAACTGATGATCATCAGTACCCAAGGGCTGATGGAAACTTTCTGCTCAGTCTTAGTTACCCCAAAGATGGTTGTTTTTCTGGCTAAGGTCCCTTTCAAGATGGGATTCAAATTCTTGCTTATGTGGGATGGATGTCAGATTACACAAGCCAGTAAGAAGCATTCAGTTAAAGTGATCAAAAAATTACTAAAGGCTAGCATGAGTATATAAAAACACTGGGAGTCACAGACACAAGGGAATTCACATCAGTCTCTGAGCTCTTTTTCATAGACTCACCAAGGGCTCCTGAAACTTGGGGTCACAAATGTAGACCAGATAAACCCTCTCATGGTGCAGGTCTGAGGTATGAGAGCACCTACTGCAATGGGAAAGGTAGGAAGTTTTAACAAGTTCTTTCTCCCTTATTTAAACACAGAAAAAAAAAGTCTTAGCCTGCTGGGGGAGGGGCCAAAAGCCCTACTGCCCTCAGGGAACAGGTGAAAAATGCAGCTAATGGGGAAAAAAGAATGGGAAGGGAGAAGAAAACATCTGGGTCCTAGACAATTAGAGGCACCCAACTTCTGGGAGAAAGGCAGAGCCCTTACATGGCCCAACACCTCAAAACTCAAAACAAGTCACCTACCTAAGCATGAGACTGAACCAGAACAAAACTTAAAGCCCCTTCTCCCTCACACAAGTAGGAGAGCAAACATCAAGAAGTAGTGCAATCTACTGCTGGAAGAGGGGAAAGAGCATGGAGATAGGTCCTCACAGGGGATATCACAAAGGAAATGAGCCTGAGAGCAGAGCAGGCATTAAGAAAAACTCCTGGTAAACTAGTGTCAACATAAAAAGTACAGTGCCTTCCATAGCAGCAGGTTCCACAACCGCTGATGCAACCTACTATGGACTGAAAATATTCAGGGGAAAAAATAATACAACAGTAAAAATAACACAAATTTTAAAAACAATACAACACTACCAACATAGCATTTACATTGAATTAGTATCATAAGTAGCCTAGAGGTGATTTATAGTATACAAGAGGATGTGCATAGGTTGTATGCAAATACTACGCCATTTCACATACGAGACTTGAGCATTAGTGGATTTTTGTATAGGTGGCGGTTCTAGATGTAATTCCCATGGATACTGATGGACAACCCTAGTGCTACAGGAATTTGAAGAATATTGAAACAGCAACAAAACACAAATCCAGTTAACTCCTGAGTATATCAACTCACACCCCAACATTACAAGCTTAGAAAGCTGAGCCTGATTTTTTATGTGGAATAGCTCCCGGGAAAAGTCTTAGAAAGGTAGGGACTGTGACCCTTGAAAGCCTCCTTTAAGAAACATTGAGGCTTCCCCTAATTCAAATAAAATAGGGCTGCAGGGAAGACATGCTCAGAGAAAGAGAAATCAGTGGAAAGAATGAGGAAACATAGAATTCAGCAAGAGGGTGTGTGCTTGGTCTGGGGACAGATATATCTTATAAGGCAAGTCAGAGGAAGAATAAAACAAGGGAGGGCAGTGGGTGATTTGTTCAGGCTTCACTGTGGGGTAACAAGAAGAGGGAAATAAAGTTAGCACACACAAAAAAATATTTCCCAGATGGATGCAAGGAGTAGGGGATAAAAAGGTGGAGGAGATAACAAAGAGATGACATTGGACTGATCAGGCACAGGGCAGTTCCGTGCCTCAGTCTGAGGAGGAAGATGGTGGGTTTGGTTGGGGAAGACTGAGCCATACAGGATTATATGATTGAAAGTCTGAGAGAGGCCAGAGTCAAAGCATCTTTGAAGAATCAGTCACAGTCAG